AAAAAAAAAAAAGGGAAGAAATCCGCGATGCCTGGATTTACCTTTTCTGTAAATTTGAAATGTCGCGTTTCGATTTGGTTTTCTCCGAGGTGATTCGACTGCCGTCATTGGAAACGAATCTGGACGCAAGTACGGTGGATTTTTCTGGTGGGCCGGTGGTTCCTGATGGTATGTTCGTCAATCTTTTACCCTGACGGCTTTCTTTCGATTTCCTTCTAACGTTTAGATCCGACGAGACTACAATTTCGTCGAACGTTTGCCCGAAAACAGCTAAACAGAAAACCTGAATTAATCGAAAGAAGTGTGTGTGTATATATAAAACGAAATATCGCGAATGAAATCAAGGACAGTGATGCAATTGATTATTGTGACACTCCACAGTTCCGTTGACTTACGTTCTTGAAAATAAGTGGAAACTTAGTCAACGGTGGCAAACGGTTAAGGTTACACGGTGCAATCACGATGTACAAATACATTATCGATCAATCATGTCCGTTTCTTGGAAATGTTTCTATTGGAACGTTTACTTACGTTTTTGATCAGATGTTTGTTGGGCGTGGACAATTACGCAAGCCAGAGTGAGCACCAGAAGGGATAGGAAATTTGTCATTGTTGCCAAGACCGAAGATGTTTTGCTTCAATTTTTTTTTTTTTTTTTCAGGATCTGAAATTTCGTTCGAAACCTTACAGAAAATGAAGGAGAGAAAAAGAGATACTGCTAAATCACTAGAACTATCGATCGAAAGGAATTTATAACTACGGAATATTTCTGAGAAAATACCAGACTGATATTTGTTGCTTCTAATCTGCCGATATATACACGTGTACGTGTCTCGCGGTGTTTACAAATTCCCACTAGATCACGAGGGCGAGGAAAATTTCTAAGAAACAAAATTCCCAAGCACAAGAAACGTCTACGATACGTCTCTCGAGCTGCGAACAACAACTAGTTACCTATTACGCGTCGATAGCGACGTACGAAAGTCTTCTCTCTGCGTGGTCAACGCACTTTCTGCAACAGACCAAACTTCTACGTAACTGATCGAAAAAAGAAAGAAAGAAAAGAAACATATCGTCCCAATAATACATCCAATCGAGAATTATCTGTGTGAAAAAAAAAAAAGAAAAGAAAAAGAAAATAATGCCAAGAGGAATAGCCAAGAATGGAACAACTCCACGGAAGAAACTTGCGCGTATGGCACTACTGATTTGTCAGCTAGAGAAACAACAGCGAGAAGCAGCGAGGAAGGGAACAGGAATATTGCACGCGAACTTCTCAGCCGACTTACCGACAGCTTAAGCCAGAAGATACTTTCCGAGCCGACAACCGCACGAGAAATGCGAGCACAATGCTGTGGAAGGCTTGAAGAGAGCATCGCGAATTTGCTATAGTACGTGGTGAATAGGAACAGGCCGGGGGTAAGGGTCCAGAAGGAGGCGCCTCGCGGACTGTTCACACACACTGTACATCGTATGCACCGGACAGACCACTTTCTATTTCATTTTTTCCCCTCTTTTTCATGCGCCCGTCTCGCTCTCCTAAGGATCCGGCCTTCTCGCCCGATCGACCGGGCGGACTGGTCTCAGGAACCGGGCCTCTGGCGTGTCCAGCAGCGGACCTAAACAATGCTTAACGACCAGAGAGACGGACCTTTAACGAGCCCTTTTAATGCATCCACATCGGGTGTCACGAACCTTTGCTGCTCGTCGGCTACTGCGCAACACGCGTGTTCCTAGCTTCTTCGTGGTGGAAGAAGGACTCGCCTGTCCGCCAATTGCCGTGATCTTCCTCGGCGCTTTCCGTTTCCTGGAAACGAATGGCAAAATTGGGGATTTTCGGAGGGAATCTCACGCTGCCGCGTGTGTCTGATCAGCCCGGGAATTTTGAATATTTTGGAACGAAGTCGCTCGCGATTTCTTCGGGTTGTCGCGTCTCTTCTGCAAAAGGGTGAGTTTTTACACTTTTATACTTTTTATACACGCGCATGTACATATTCCTTGCTCCGTGAAAGATAATGATAAAGAGACGATTATATTTTTATTGCGAAGGTTGCACTAATATTGTGTATTTTTAGGGGATTAAGCAGTCTAGATCCGCAAACTTGTCAAACAATTAAATAATTCATCTACAAACAAATTAAACGGTCTATTAAATCCAAAGTATATAATCTATCTGCAGTTTATTTATTAAACGATGTTTTCATGAATATTTCAACATTATTTTTGTAGCTGTAACAAACCATACAAACATGTAGTAACGAAATAATGGTAATCGAATATATAATACGTAGTTACAATAGCAACGAAGATACGAAACAATCTCAATATTTGCTTATACTATCCTTCATGATACGAATAACAATCAATATTTTGGTATAGCAAGTTTATCGATGAACACAGTATTCAGTTGCTGTAAAATTTATATTAAAAGACTGTGTAATCGATCTTGTGTACAATTTTCAATGTTTGTATTATTTTCACTTCACATGTTAACTAAAATTAGTAAGTAAAAATTAGTAAGTAAAAATTAGTAAGTAATCTAGTAAATTACTAAAGTAAAATTAGCGGCACACTGTATACCAATAGTATTGATATTCAATTCGAATTTCTTGCAATTGTTTCCTTCTTTTTTAAAATTGATTTTATCCCATTTCATTCAAGTTTCTAAGATCCTTCGACTGTAACTATTATAAGATTAGAGTACGTTGAAGAAGTCGACGGGAAGATTCGAGAGAATGATCAAGAAATCACAAAGCAAAGGAAGCTGCTGCATTGCACCGAGTGTTACGAGCCAATCGCAAACGGTTACGGGTTCCCAGAATAAAAGCAACGAGATTTCCTACGCGAATTCCAAATGAACAAGTACCAATGTTTCAGTGACCGTGGCTTTTTATAGAGTAAACCGACCAGGATATATAACTTCTTCTTTTTGAACGTCACCGTGCTAGGTAGATCTCGCCATGCATTAGCAAGATCCAAACAGAAACTTGCAATCAAAGATGGAATATCAAAAACTCAACAATTAGCAAATAAAGTTCCCTCTATGTTTCTGTTCTCGACACTACCTGTTGAAGGTTTGCGTTCAACTGGTGCAGCAGCTTTTGGTCGGGCAACTGAGTTGATCGACCTCAAATCGTTTCATTAAAAAGTTTATATCATCACCTGGTTGCATGGTATTTTGTTTTTCAATCCATAATTAATGGTTAAAGAGATCTTAGGTGTGTCGTCAGCAATTGCGACTAGCTCCTTAAGAGGCGACTTATTTTGCAAAAATCGGCCCGATTTTGTTTTGTTGGATTTAGTAAATGATCGTTGTACTCGATAACATACGATAATTACAAAAGAAGTGGTATTTTAGGAAATATCACTTCCTCTAAAAACTTTAAAATCCAAAAGCCATATTTATAAATTACAAGATGAGCATGAACTTTTTAATCGAACGACTTAATACTACAACTATCGACGATGAAAAGCCTAAAATTTCCATTCAGGAAAAAAAATATTAGAGTAAAAAATACGCAAACTTTTATTTATATATTTTAAATCATTTCGAAAGAAAAAAAATCATTTAAATCTTCACAAATACATTGTCTTGCATCTGCAAAATGTCCAACAAAAATTATAAATCGGTCATTTTGGTAGTTCCGGTGTCAAACTCAATCGGCTCGATCGTCCAACCAAAAGTTATCCAAAAAAACACACCACGTAAACCGGAATGAAAACGATTTCTAATCGTTCGATCGAGGGTAACTAATTCGTCTACTGTTGACCGAGCGACCTGATCGTTATTCTAATTGAAACTCAAACGTATGAAATTCGAAAGAGCATCGAAGCAAGCGTAGTGAGAAAAGAAGCGACGGTGGAACGAAAAGCCACATTCGCTTTTGATCGTTTCTCAGGGCTTTTTTTATTTTCGACGAAACAGGCTTTCGATGGAGAAAGTTCGAGGCGGATAGATAGAGCGTGTACGTTCGAGATCACGTGTGCACGAGTCGGTCCCGGTCATTGCACGCCTCCCTACGGATCCCGATTTTTCGGTTTTCG